AATGAAGCATTTATTGATATTGCTTTCCCATAATTAAAACTCAGAGAGAGAAAGGATATAGAGCAACACGATTTTCTCAAGTTTTGAAGAATGGAAGGGGCCATAGTGAGTAATGGTGGCAGGATTCAGGCAACTAAAATCTGATAAATCCCTGAATATCTTCCTGATTTCCAAGCAGAAGAATTTCCATTTTGATTTTAAATAATAGCGGTTGCTTTTTTTTATTTGTGACAGATTCAAACCAATAGGCAGATAGACCCAAACTTTAAAAACTGTGTTTTTTAAAAAAATTCCAATCTAAGCATTGAGTACTACACAACTTACTTTGCTAATAATTGTACTTTTGTATCCATAAGTAATGGAACAGAATTTAATAAATCAAAAAACAATGGATAGCTATTTTCAGAACTGCATGAAATATATGAATGGCTGAACAATACAAAAATCACCACTATAACAGCTGAGCAAGAAGAGAATCATTGTTTTATTATATCCATTACAAAAGTATTTGGGACATATTCCTTTAGAGGTGAGAGCTTATTACCTTATTATAAGAAGAGGCACTGCAGGTCATATCCCCTGCTTGTCCTTTCTAACCATGGAAAATTACCTTGCTTATCTGCAATTCTTGTAAGTTTTTTTTTTTTTAAACGTATATTTAAATGCAGATTTTCTTACCCAAGATGCCAATTTTTACATATAATGGTATCCAGTTACATCACTAGACTGATTGAAAATTAAATCTATAATTGGGCAATATTTGCACTTATTGGGGATAATGTGATATCAAATGCCAGGAGAAATGACAATGTCATATATCTTAGGTTATTGAAATTTGGTTTGGTTTACAATTAAGAAAACTGCAATAATCCAGAAAGATGCCTGAAATCTTGTTGCTACAAAGGGACCCACCCACCCAAAGAAAGAAAAAGTAATGATGAGAAACTCATAGTAAAAGCATAAACTGCTGAGTTTCACTCCTCCTCAGACTTCTATCATTTGAAGATGATAAGCTCAGTGTCTGCAGGAAGGACTGGGGAGATCTCCAAATACAAGCCAGCTTGCAAAGCAAAATAGGCTGAAGAAACCGAAGGGCGATTTAGACAGGGCTGGATAAGCATGGCTGAACAATACTTCCCTGTGCAGTTTAAGATTTAGAGAGAGGTGATTCTAAAAGGTCAAGATTATCCCAGCTGGAATAGGATGTAAGACTCCATTTGGACTTAGCTGTCCACATAGTTTGGTTTTGGGTGATGTTAAGCTGAGATTTGCTGCTCAAAAACATTAACCACAACCAGCCATTCTTTCTTAGGATTGAAGAGGGTTTTCCAGAGTCCTTCATTAAAATACAAAGAAATCCAGGAGGAATTATCCCATACTCTTTTATGTCAAGTGATACTCTAGATTTAACTCTTTAGCAGTAAGGAGTAGCAGGGATAAAACACAAAATAACCACTTTAGAACTGGCAGAGAGTTTCCTTACAGAAACTCTCCTATTTCATAACTTGGTTGAGACTTTCTGCCCTTTTACTTGTAGGACAAGGCCAGGAACATACAGCACTTTGACTCTGCAATCTAATTTTTCATGACTCAGCTTTGAAGCCAGCCCTGCTGAAGGGGGTCTGGCTGAGTCATGCTGTTTGTCCCTGGGCTTGCCCTATTGCACTGTTAGACGATTGATCTGCAAACCTCGTGGCAGATAAGGTCACATCCTCCTTAGATCTACAACACAGCATTTCAAATGATAACAAAACTGTTCAAACAATTGGACTGGAAGGAAGGGACCTGACTCTGACACTAATTAGCTGTGTAATCTTCTATAACCTAGGGAGCCTTTCCAACCAAGATAAGGAAATTGAACCTGATTTTTCTATGATCATTGCTTTGGATATTAGGGGACACCTGTATCTAGAAAGTAAAATCAGAAACAAATGAGAGTTTGATATAATTGCTTGCTCATAAATCTTCCCACGCTGACGTAGCATTTTAAATGTTGTATTTTAGTTGCTTAGTGAAAGTGAGACATTTTAAATCTACTTTTAGTATAAACAATGGAGACAAGTTCTGTGGTAAATGCTAAATTTCAAAATTGCATCGCTGGTTGTGTTTTTGAAGTTCTAAAACACCCCAACTATTTAAACAAGGCTGCTTAGCTAATAGCTGTAAACTGTAATTGGTTACAATATATTTAGGGAAATTTTTATTTACCAGAATCTTACAGATTATTTACCAAAATCTTGTCTCACCTACCTACAGATACTTCAGGTAGGTGAGTAGATTGTTGGTAGCAAAGAGAAGATACAGATTTCCAATAGTAAAGAAACTGAGATTTTCATCATGCTTTCCATAAAGAGGAAAATTCAGACATACTTTCAGATCATGTATAAGTAGTAAAAATTGTTCTTCCTGATACACAGTAAGATATCACAGCCATCTTTTACTATGTAACTACATTTTCTCCAGAGTAGTTTTGTCAGTATACCAAAGCTTAAACAGGCTGAAATTCACTAAATTATCACCTTGTTATCCTTGTTTTAGTTATTAAGTATAATGTTAAAGAAAATTTCTTAACTATGATTAATACATCTATTTTTAAACCAGCAAAAAAAAAAAAACTCCAAATCTTTTCAGTGCTGACCTATAATAATTTTACTATAAAAATATGTAAAATGCATGGAGACAAAATTCAGAAATAATTTCAAATGTGTACAGTTCCTAACAGATTTATAATCCAAATGCATTTACAAATTTAAGACAAAAAAAAAACACAATAGAAATGAGTAACATTATTTAATATTATGATTGGTGGTGCCTGGCTGGAGAAAACACCAGCAATAAGAATAGGGCACTAATGTCTTCATAAAGCTGTCCTTAAAAGAGCAAATGGGCACTGGCCACTAATTCAGATTATTTTATGGTAATCTCACCCATATGAGTCTATACATGTCTTCTAAAAATGGGGCAAGATCTATTTCAGATTTCACAGTCTTTCATATTTTAGAAAGGGAAGTACCCAATAATCAAATACATTGATATCTATGCATTAAAATATATGAATATATAAATGTTCACAACTATATGCTGCAAATAGTTTCATGTCCATACAGGCCAGGCTTTGCATTTATAGTTACCTACTGCATGTGGAATTGCCCTTACTTACATACATGCTTACTGCATTTTGAAACTACTTACTGCATTTAGAACTCCAGATACAGGTGTATAGGCCTCTACTACCATATGCTGTGTGATGATGTAATTTTACATTCTCTTTTGCATCCTTTCACACATGCACACTTGTGAAATTCTCATGGGATGGAAACATCATCTATATCTTATGCCCATTTCCATTTTATTTTTATTAGCAGTTTCAATGTGGTTAATATAATTATTGTAGAGCATTCTCTAATCCCCAAGAATATGTCCTTGAACTTTTCAGAACCTCAGATCTTAGTTTAAGAAATGAACCAATATCTAATACACTTGGGAGCTAAGAAGGTGGAGCCCAGGCACCACATAAAGTGGTTTATCTCTTGAAATATCAAAAGAATCTTGTTACAAAACAGGGGACATTGACAGTGAGGTATAAATCCTAAAGCTATGGAAGGTTTTGTGGTGGAGGTATTTGAGAAGCTATGCCAGGTAGAACCCATCCTTTGGTCTTTACATACATCACCTCACTGGAAACCTATTATACCTGGCGAATCTAGATCTCAAGGTTAAATAAATAGCACTAGAGCTCAGAGGCACTGCTGTTGCAAGATTACGCTTTTCCCCACTAATTATGCTTCTAACTTAAACTTACCCTGTGTAGAAAGAAAGAAGTCATGGGGTAAGCATGAGACCTAGGTTTTGTCCTAATTCTGTCTCATTTTAACTTTTTCTTTTGGCTCCAGGCAAGTCACTTTCCCTGATTCAATCCCCAGTTTCTTTTTCTTCTTCATCTTTTTTTTAAATCTGTGTAGCAAGAGCTCTACCTGTCTCACCAAGTTTTTGTAAGACTTAATGAGAATATGGGTGTTTATGAAATGCTTTGTAAAAAGATGTGCTGTCAGAGTGCAATTGAATACCAATGAACACCTCACCTCTGGGGCAAGAGCAGAGAATAGGCTCCTGCAGCCAGCCTGGGTTCCGGGTTCCCAGATGATGTGGCTGTAACTGCTGGGTGCAGACTCCCTCCTTGCTCTTTCCCTTCTTGCCTTGTTCTCCTCAACGAGGGAATTTAAAAGTAACTAACTTGGAATCATAAATAGGACTACTTTGAAGCCCATATGCTTCTTGATTTCTATTTTCCTAACATCTTTGCATTTTTTGTGTGCTTAGATCTTTCTGCTGGTAGTTGTAGACTCTTCTGTCAGGATCGGTTTATTCATCTTTGTGTCTCTTCCAGTCTCACTTCTTCTATCCCACAACTAGCAAATTTCTTTGCAGAAAGCAACAGTTGAATACTTGTATCTGTTTAATAAAATGTAATAAAATGGAACATCTACAAGCTTTAAAAATGTAGTATATCTGAAGACCTACTCTTTTCAAACTGAGATACAGCTAATCATGTATAGATTTTTATTCTAATAATACAGAGATTTTGTAAGGTGATTAAATTTAAATTAATCTTCTGATGACAATTGATAAAGCATTTCTAAAATATCTTATATAGCCAAATGATAGTTTCTACCTGGATTAAGGATTAAATACTGTCCAGCTTTCTGTGTCATATTTCATTGACTCAAGCTTATAGTAAGATTTTTCTGTGTTGGAGTTGATCATGTTGACAAATCTTATCTATACTTATTTATAATGAATAAATTATATATTATACAGAAATGCAACAAATGCGTGAATCCACTAAGTCACAGAATGATTTGTCCAGAATCTCGCAATACTTTAAAAAGTTTATCAAAGCCTAAAATGGATTTTCACATAATAAAAAGTTTCCTTTTAAAAAAAATTAAATTGTCTGATTTTCTTCCTATATATTTATGATTAGATTATTATTAATTCATCAAAGTACTATCGTTATCATGACCAAAATTTAGTCAAGACTGCAGGTCCAATTTAAGCCCTGATTTATACACTGCACACATATATTTTTTCCTGCATAAGAAATAGCTGCTTGTCCTTCCATCTCTAATTCTACTGATTAAATGTTACTTGTAAGCAAAACTCAGTCAGTTAGCATTAGGAGAATTCATATACATGAATTTTGTCATGGTATAGCTGTAATTTTTTTGCCAGTAATTTATGAATTTTATTTTTTGCTTGTTTATTATGCCCCTTACTTCATATTTATGAATGACCTGCCAATCTCATTAGGAAAACTTGTATAGACGTCACCAAATATGTTTACTACATTTTTTATTTGGGTAGATATTTTAAGGTTCAGATATTATTTTTCTGGGAAATTGTCATGAGAATGTTGGTGACAAAGAAACTTTTAGAATATAGTGCAGTGAAGTTTCCTTTGGAAACATATATTTTCTTCCTCCAATCTCTATGACATCAACTCACAATATCTTCCTAGAGTTTTCACAGCTTGCTGTGGAAGAATACAGAGTTCATGTTGCAGAAATTGCTGAGAATGTTGTTCATACCAATTTTATTGTGAAGCTTTTGTCCTTATGGTATTTAAATTTTTTTAAAAAAATATAAGATGCAGAAGCAGCAAAAAACCCACTTTTATATTTAGTTACACACACACACACACACACACACACACACACGCACATCCCAACCTTCTCTGTTTTATGAGTCTATTTTGGTTTATATAGTTTCCTTTTCCCATTTTTTTCCAGAAAAGACACTAGCATGTGCAATGGTAAAAGCAATAAAAAAAGCATCTCCCTTTTTGCCTTGTAGTGAATGGTTCTATCTATGGAACAGTCAAACATTTACTTCTTACCACAATGTATGTCAACTTTCATTTGCTTTGCCTTTGATTCCATAAGAAGCCAAATTCATTTAGCTCTCTGTTTTCTCACACCCTAAGAACACATAATGAGTCAGTATATATAAGAATACAGGATAACAGCCGACATACCTACAAGTTCTGCTGCATATACCAAACAGGGCATTTCCCAGGAAACAGTCTTATATCTATAATTGCTGCCAAGAAATGAAAGCCAGTCATTCTACTGAAAAGGAATACTGGTGGCACTGGCCATCCCATGCCTTCTTCCTGCCATTGCTCCTGCACTGCACTAGCTGTTAGAAGACCATGGAATTTAGACAACCAAAGAAGTACCACATACCTGCCATGAGAAAAGAGGCAAGGACAGTGATGACTCCGCTTCTGACCTTTACACCTCTGACTATTACCCAGATAATGACATTGGAAGAAAAGTTAGGAAAAATATTAAGAAGCAGCACAAATATTTCTTTGGTTATTTTTCTTAAAAAAATCAATTTTTATGTTATCTTCATGTAATAAGTAGGTTCTGCTTGATACAGGTTTTAGTAGCTTCATTATTAGATATAATGTAAAGTGAATGTAAATGTTCATTAATTTTTTACTAGTAACTAATTAATATATTACTATAATATGTTACTATTACTATGGTCTTTTCCTTCTACCCCCTCAAAAACAAAAGTTGGATGTTTGTCAGGTGGAGATGTGTGTAGCAGATTTATGAACCTCTTGTTGAAATCAAATTAATCTCTCTTAATTCAGTCTTTATTTAGTATTTCTAGATTCATTTTTAAGTTATTTTGTATACTTAAAAATTTTATTTTTAACCACACATAACTGTACATATTTATGGGGTACATAGTAATGTTTTGATAAATATAATGTATAGTAATCAGATCAGGACAATTAGCAAATCTATCATCTCAACATTTATCATTTCTTCATGTTGGGAACATTCGATATCTTCCTTCTAGCTATTTGAAACGGTATAATACATCATTGTTAGCTATAGTCATTCTGCAGTAGTATAGAACACTAGAAGGTGTACCCCTATCTAGCTGTAATTTTGGGCCCTTTAACAAAATCCAATAATGGTATTGTCATTAACCCAGCTACTCTCTTTCCTTGAGGGTGTGATCCTAGGACTGGGTTATTATCCTTAAGGAGCACAGCCTCGCTAACCAGGATCCCTGACAGTCTGCCTCACCAAACCACATTTTTATGAGTAGATAACTTGGGTAGTTAACTTGGTCCCCAAAATGTGGTCTAAATTCTTCATTTTTGAATCTGTGCTAAAGATTTCATGCCCACTTTTACCGCACAAGGCTGATGTAGAAGAAATGCAACTAGAATTCCAAATGGAAAGTGGCAATGTGGCATGGCACTCTGGGACTTTGTAGGCAAAACAACTCCCAGTGGAGGTCATAAACTGTGTGAATCAGGAGCGCAATGACAAAGGTCTGGAAAGCTGGACTCACTATTTACTAAACAAAACTCCACGTCTGTAGAAGGCAAAATCTTCAGTGTTTAACAAGAGGCAGAGAAAGGAACACTCTTCCTGGTAGCTTAGATGCATTGCCATGATCCTAGGAATGAGGTGTGTGTGTGTGTGTGTGTGTGTGTGTGTGTGTGTGTGTGTGTATGACTCATTATCAGAATTAGTGAATTATAGTCATAAAAAATAGAATGAATAGAAAAGTTCCCAAACTTGATGTTTTATAGAAACAGAAATGGAATAATTTTTTAACATTGAGGTTTTCAAGTATATTTTTCAGTGTACAAAATCTCACATGGATAAATAGCTCAAGCAAAATTATAGGATGCACAGAAGGGGTTGAAAGGGTAGCTCCCCTAGTCCCCCAGCAGAGCAGCTTCATCATGAGTTTCATGTGTCAGGGATTGGAACCCCATATAGAATTCTATCTGAAGAAGGAGTCCACTGATAAAATGAGTTTCAAAATAAAACCATGGATTTAACGTAAGACAGTAAATTTTCAGATTTTATAATTGGGTGGCTTCTAATACAAAAAGTGACAGGTAATGATGATTTTGAAAGTGCTATGACTCCTAGCTACTAACTCTATCATTTAACTGTGGAATATCCATGGGTACATATGTTCCCTTAAACAGTTATGTTCTTGTTAAAGTCAGCATATTAAGGTAAGAACTGACACACTGAGGAATGAATGGAGGAAAATAAAATCTACAAAAGAGAAAACCATGTATGTTATGTGGAAAACTAAATTAGTTTAATTCAATACAGAAAACATTTGTTAAGGGACAAAGTGCTAGCTGAGCACTAAGTGAGTAACGCTGGGTGCAAGTCAGGGGCAGAAGATATATACAATTTTAGAACATGGAAGCTGAAAAATAATTGGTTTTTAGAAACTTTTATGTAGAAATACACCTGAAGATGGTTTTGTCCCACCTAAATCAAAGACTTTTAGAAAGTTCCCAACCACAGCAGGGCAGGAAAAAAGACACCTTGTACTAGGCATTTATCCTAGTGCATCTGAATGGGAGGAGAGCCACAACTCCTGAAGCTCAAGTAAGTGCCATCACTGCAAATAGGAAAGAGCTAGAGCAAGTATTTTGAAAACTGCAATTGGAGACAAAAACAGAAAGGCCATTGAGATTCACATTTCAGCTCTAACAAAGAAATGAGATTAAAGCAATGGGCATCTTGATGGATCATACCTAACTTGACCTGGACTGGAAGGCGACACAGCGTATCACAGGGGACCTAGACCCAGAGTAATAGCAAAGGGAATATGGAAAGCCATATTATATTCTCTAGTCTTCCTCATGCTCAACACAAATACTTTAGATATATTTTTTATTATTTTCCCAAATTTTCATCACAAAGTCCCTGGTCCATTCTATCAGCAGCAAGTATTCTAAGTTAGAACTCTAACATATATAACAAGCCCATCCACTGCCTTCCATTTCTAACCCATTTCCCTAGTGACTGCCATCCGCAGCCCAGATGACTGTAATAGTCTCCACCTCTTCTCTTCCTTTCTTTTTAAACTTTTCCATGCACATCTGTTAGAATAATTTTTAAATGTGTAAATTGGAGCATGCCATTAGTGTCCTCCAAGGGCTTCCCAATATACCAAGAACAAAATTCAAACTCTTGTACATCGCCTATAAGCACCATGGCCTGGCCCTTGCTTACCATTTGACATCATCTCATACCACTCAGTGTTTCAGCTACAATGTGCTTTCTGTTGCTGGGATATACTCACCCCCAGTGCCCTGGGGATTTGCTGGTTCCTCCTTTCTGACTGGGTTTCCCCAGTTCTTTGATGGCTGTCTCCCTCTCTACCTGTAGGGCTCAGCCAAACTCTCTTCTCAGAGAAATCTTCCTTGACGAACCACTTCACCTTTATCAACAAGGTTATTTTCTTTATACATCACCCAACTTATTATCTATGCCACAATTTCTTTTATTTTTATGCATTTCTTTTAATTTTTCTTAATTTTTTTTTGTGTCTTACCACAATAGAACGTGATTTCAACAGTGCATGGACCCTCCTTCATATTTTTTTCCTCGGACCTTATATATAACTGTGCCCAGCATATAGCAAGAGCTCAATGATTATTTATTAAAAAAAAAAAAAAGCTAGACTCACTTCTAACTATTCCTATTCCAGAATTCCAGCTTTTATCCCCCAAAATTAAACAACGACATATTTTGTGGAGGACACAAACATACGCTCACAAAAAATAGATACCATGCAAGGGATAAAAAAAAAACAGAAAGTATCTTCATAGTGGTGTAATTAATTTGCATGCAGCTGCTGGTGAGTAGCTAAATGAGTAACTAACTCTTGGTGAGTCATGGGGTGACATAGGTCATATAGTTTCATCATGCCACTATGTCAAAAATTGGTAGCTGTATGTGTTTGACTGCCACAAAACGTCTATAGAATATTTTTGTTATTAAAATTAAAATAATAATGTAAATATTTTCTTATTTTAGAAGTAGCAATTAAATTTTTCTGTTTTAAAGTGTAATCCTCATTATTGATAGTTTTTTTCTACTCAAGAGTCATCACACCAGTTCTTCTTGTTAGCACTCTTTTTTCCTCTCAGAGATTACATTGCTAGCTCTGGTATTTTCAGGCAGCTGGTTATGTAGGTCCATTTAGTAACTTTCTGAGAAAAATTTTTAGACCTCAAATGTTGATGTAATCATGAAAGTCTCATGCAGAATGGATGAAAATTCAGTCCACTTTTCTTTTCCCTTCTACTAAATTGACCAGAAAAGAGAGAAGAGGAGGCAGTCTTATCTTTTCCTATTTAACAAAAATATAGACAAAGAAACAGTTAAGAATAGTGTATTAGGTTGGTGGGGTGATTCAAGCCTCCCACAGCTGAAAGGTTATTTAATTCAGAGTTGTGCCGAGTTTCCTGATCTATTCCTAGTCTCCTGAGAGACAAAGGTTTCACACAATCTGCAACCAGCATTAGAGTTATATTAAAGTAAGGGGGCTGATGTGGTTGTAAGTATTTAATACATCGCCAAGGAAAGGGGTGGAGGCCATCAGAGCTGGGGAGACATTCTTAAATACTAAAGTGCCCAGCCTAGTAAATATCGTTCCCAGACGTGTGTCGGGGGAGGATGAAAAAACAATGAGCACACTCACTGTATCGGGGCTTCCACATGACTCTTTTAACCACAAAATCTGGAGCACTTTGAGAAAATGGGCTCTTGGCTATAGGCTATGGGTAGGCTTAGAAATTTAGCAGCATGAACAGGTGTCGGGACTTAGGTGATCTGGCTCAAAGAAGCTCAAATGAAAGCTGAAAAAATTGGCTGCAGCTAATACTTTTACAGTTTCTCCCTGCAGGGAGAGCCTTTGTTTACTTACCAGAGAATTTAACACTACTTTATTCATATGTCTGGGTCAGCATAATGATGTTAAAATAAATACATAAAGTTTTTACTTATGACTCCTATTTATTAACTATACTGGCAAAGATTGGCCTTGTCAACTCAGTTTTTGTTGAGCTGGCCAAGTTTACCAATTGAAATGCGTACTTCTTGTTATCAAAATATTGATATATTTTTGACATCTTATCCATTAATCTACACCAGAAGTGTATCACAGCACCTTGTAAATGGAATGAGTATCTGCAGCCTATGTCTATTTTCTTGGTTCGGATAGATACATTCTATTTTTATTTAAATCATTTGATTTACTGATAATCATCTAAGTTATATTTTAAAGAAACTTTTTCATATCTCTATTAAGGGCCAAATAATAAAAATATTTTAGGACTTATGAGCCACACAAGGTCTCTATCATTTCATAATCATATTTTTGGCAACTCTTTCAAAATACTAAGAACATTCTTAGTTCAAGGGCATATAAAAAACAAGGTGCAGGCCTGCGGGCTGAATATGACCCGTGGGCCTTGATTTTCTGATCTCTGGCATAAGTAATGGAAGTTATATTTAAGAATTTGCTTTACTTCAATCAAATAGTAACGCTTCTTCTCTGCATAATGGGGATAATAATATAGGCAGACAGAATTGACAAGTGTTCTGTATTACTAAAAAAAAGTGATGGCTCTCTTGAAGAGTAAGGATACTAAACATTTCCAAATGCTCACAGTAAGCAGAGTCAATCTTAGTCTAGTTCTAGTCTAATCTTAGCAAAAATGTGACCCAATTTAACATTTGTAGGTAGCAACGTTTTTTCCTTCCAGAAAAAGCACTGTATGTAATTCTGAAATGCCATCTTCAATATTGTTCTTCACTTATTGAGGTTGGAATAGTCTGGGCAGCAATAAAAATTGCCACTTCTCATATGTGATAATATGATTTTTTCATCTTTTTCTTTCCTCCTTTCAGGCCAAATCTTCAGCCTTGATAATTAATCACAACAATAATAGGGCCATGTATCTATTTGACATTTTGTATTTTGCAAAACTCATTTCTAAATGAAAATGAAGATGACTTCCCTACCATTTTTGTTTGTACAGCTTGAGTATCCCTCATCCAAAATGCTCAAAAAAATTTGAAACATTTTGAGCACTGACAAGGGACTCAAAGGAAATGCTCATTGAAGCATTTTTGGACTCAGATATCTTTCCTGTCTTGCAGTTGACTGGCTAATCCTTTGTATAACGGATGACATTAGTAGCATCACTTTGTGCAGGGAGTGTTACCTTCCATGACCTTTTGGGACCAGGTCTTCTCCCATCTGGGAACAGTTTTCTTTGGTTTTATAGCATAGTTTCAAATTAGACCTTCCAAATTAAACTTGAAATTTTGATGAAGGTCTACAGCATTTGGGGAAGGTAGGGGCATATCATTCCAAGTGTCTTTTAAAGAATATTCTAATTTACTTCAAAAATATGCTAGTTTGTAACAAGAAAATGTTCCTTTGGAACCACTAGCTTCATACAATTGCTTTAACTACTTTTAGTCTTTGTCAGTCTTTGTCAATCTTTTTCTCTCTCTCTAATTTCCTACTCTCCCCATCCCCAATCCAAGCAAAGATGCTTGTGGGAAGGAGCTTTGAGTTGAGAGCAAGGAAAAGAGATTATAGCCAACCCAAATTTACATTTAGAAAAGTTTAAAACAGAGGATACTTCCAAATTAATTTTACCAGGCCAGAATTATTCTAATAATACAGCTAGTTGAGAATACTATAGGAAAAGAAAACTATAGGCCAATATTGCTGATGAATAAAGCCACAAGAGTCATAAAAAATACAGTCAGCCCTTCATATCTTTAGGTTCCACATCCATAGATTCAATAAACTGGGGATTATAAATAATTTGGCAAAAAAGGATTCCTGTGCAGTGCCTATATTGAACAGGTACAGACTTTTCTTGTCCCTATTCCCTGAACAATAGAACAACAATTTACATAGCATTTACATCATATTGTAAGTAATCTAGAGATGGTTTAAAGTATACTGGAGGATATGTATAGGTTATATGCAAATACTACATCATTTTATATGAGAAACTTGAGTATCTGTGGACTCTGGTATCCATGAGAGGTTCCAGAACCCAACCCCCATAGACATCAAGCTAGGTTTGTACTAGAAAACCATATTCAACAGCATATTTAAAAGATAATTCACCATGATCAAGTGGGATTTATGCCAGGGATGCAAGGATGGTTGAACATATATAAATCAATAAATGTGTGTATTAGCCCATTCTTACACTGTTATGAAGAAATACCTGAGACTGGCTAATTTATAAAGGAAAACACTTTTATTGATTCATAGAATCAATTGATTGGGTAATTTCTAAAGGAAAGAGGTTTAATTGACTCATAATGAAAAAAGCTATCTGCTAGGGAGGCCTCAGGAAACTTACAATCATGACAGAAGGCACAGAAGAAACAGGCACAGGGTGTCAGAATAAAGTTAAGTGCAAGCAGGGGAAATGCCAGATGCTTATAAAACCATCAGATGTTGTGAGACTCACTATCACAAAAACAGCATGGTGAAAACTACACCCATAATCCAATTACTTCCATCTCATCCCACCCTTGACAAGTGGGGATTATGGGGATTACAATTCAATATAAGATTTCAGGTAGGAACACAGCCAAACCATATCAATATGATTCATCACACTAACAAAATGAAGGACAAAACCCATATGAACATCATAATAAATACAGAAAAAGCATTGAACAAAATTCAACATTCTTTCTTGATAAAATCTCTCAATAAATAGGTAAAGAAGGAAAGTTTCTCAACACAATACAGGCCATATATGACAAGCCTACAGCTGACATCACACTCAGTAGTGAAAAGTTGAAAACTTTTCCCCTGAGATCAGCAACAGGGCAAGGATATTCACTCATCACTTCTATTCAACATATTGCTGGAAGTCCTAGCCCAAAGCTATTAGTCAAAAAAAAAAAAAAAAGGAGAGAAAAAAAAAAGAAATACAAGGCATCCAAATAGAAAAGGAAGAAGTGTATTTATTATCTCTGTTTGCTGATGTTATGATCTTATATATAGAAAACCCTAAAGACTGCACCAAAAAATGTTAGAAGAGAGAAACAAATTGAGTAAAATCACAGGTTACAAAATCCATAAATCAATAGCATTTTATTCATTAACAATGAACTGTCTAAAAAAAAAAACTGAGAAAAAATCACATTTATAATAGCATAAATAAAATTCTAAGTTGTAAAGTTAACTAACCAGGTTAAAAGTCTGTATACTGAAAACTATAAAAATAAATTGATGATAGAAATTGAAGATGACACAAATAGTGGGAAAAAACTCTGTGTCCTTTAATTAGAAGAATTAATGTCAAAATGTCCATATTATCCAAAGGGATCTACAGATTCAATGCAACCCCTATCAAAACTCCAATGACTTTCTTCACAGAGAGGGAAAAAACAACTTGAAAATTCATATGGAACTACAAAAGACTCAGGTATCTGAAGCAAATCTAGAGCAAAAAGAACAAACTGAAGACATTGTACTACCTGATTTCAAAACATATTATCAAATTATAGTGATCCAAACAGCATGGTACTGGCAAAATAACAGACACATCAACTAATGGAATAAGATAGAGAGCCCAGAAGTAAACTTATGTAGCTATGGTCAATTGATTTTTGACAAAGGTGCCAAGAACACACAAAGGAGAAAGGACAGTTTCTTTAGTAAATGTTGTTGGAAAAACTGGCTCTCTGCATACACAAGAATGAAATTGGGCCACTATGTCACCTCTTATAGAAGAATCAACCCAAAATGAATTAAAGCCTTATGTGTAAGATATGAAACTACAAATTTCTAGAGGAAAATATATGGGAAAAGCTAAATGACATTGGTCTGGTCAATAATCTCTTGCATAAGACCCTAAAACCAAAGGTAACAAAATCAAAAATAGACAAATGAGATTAGATCAAACTACAAAGTTTTTATGCACAGCAAAGGAAACATATACAATATATGTATGTATCATATACATACTCTCTATATATTCTATATTCAATAGAGTGTAGAGAAAATCTATGGAATGGGAGAATATATTTGCAAATTGTATACCTGATAAGGGGTTAGTATCCAAAATATACAAAGAACTCAAACAGCTCAATAACAAAAAATCAAATAACCCAATTAAAAACAGGCAGAGAACCTGAATAAACATTACTCAAAAGAAGACATGCAAGTGGCCAACAGGAATGTCAAAACATGCTTAACACTACTATCAGGGAAATACAAAATAAATTCTCAATAATATATTACTTCACACCTGTTGAAATGGTTATTTTAAAAGATATATAATAAGTGTTTGCGAGAATTTGGACAAAAGTCTGACCCTTGTAAATTGTTGGTCAAAATGTAAATTACTACATCCATTTTGGAAAACAGTATGGCAGTTCATTAAAAAAATAATAGAATTACCGTGTCATTCAGCAATCCCACTCCTGGGTGATATATCCAAATGAATTGAAATCAATGTACCGTAGAGATACCTGTCCTCCCATGTTCATTGCAGCATTATTTACAACAGCTAAGATAAAGAAGCAACCTGAGTGCTCAACGGATAAATCAATTAAAAAATGTGGTATATATGCACAATGAAATAGTGTTCAGCCTTAAACAGAAACAAAATTCTGCCATTTGTGACATGAATAAACTTAAAGAACATTATGCTAAGTGAAATGAGCCAGGCAAGAAAGACAAATATCACATGATCTCACTTATATGTAGAATCTAAAAATTCAAACTTATAGAAATAGAGAGTAGAATGGTGGTTACCAGAGGCTGAGGAGGTATGAAGATGTTAATGGTGGTGGGCAGCGGGGAAGGAATGCTGGCCAAAGGGTGCAAAGTTTCAATTAGGTGAAAAAAATTCTGGTGATCTACTGCACGGCAAGGTCACTATAATTAATAAGAATATCCCGTGTATTTCAAAGTTGCTAAAAGGATGGATTTTAAGTGTTCTTACTGTGAAGAAATGAAAAGAATGCATGGTGATGTATAAGTTCATTGACCCGATTTTCTCATTCCACAATGTATACATGCAGCAGAACATCTCATCATATCCCATAAATAATATATAGTTATTATTTGTCAATTAAAAATAAGAATGAAATCTAAAATAACATTTTGAAAAATTCATTTTTTTCTACAAATTAACACATGGAAAAGTTCTGAATATGTACTGAATCAAGTATGTAAATTGTGAAATTTAAGTTTGAGTTCTGTTTGTACACTATTTTCCAGGGAATCT